TCACCGGGACGGCAGGAGGTTGGTGTGGCAGAGACCTAGGCAGCCTTAGCAAACGTTGTGCCGGTCAAAGCTGGACAACTTTTCCTTCTTCGTTCTTCTGACAGTGCTAGCTAGCTGGCTGAAGAAAAAACGGGAACTGATTACCTGGTCTCACCATAATATATATGGACCGGGGATGAGGCCCACACAGCAGGTGGGCGCGGACTAAAGTTTTCAGTGTAGCACTGCGTGCGTAGGGATAAACCCACTAGCGAAAGTCTTAAAGGGTGAAGCCTATACGAAATAGAACTAGAGACGAGTCGACAGTCAAAAGTAAAGGGAGAGAAAAGATGAAAGTTAGCTTAGCTTTGACAAGTGCTCATCTCTTCGGGGAGTTTTGTCATCGGGGCAGAGGGAGGAGGGGGAGACACCTCTGTGTTGCGTGTTAGCTTACAGCTATGTTAGTGACGTCAGCTGTTGACTGGCGTGTGTGTGTGGGTGTGGGTGACAGGATGTGTGAGTGAAATGGAGCTCATAGCATCTTAGCTAGCGTGTCTGTATTGTGCACGGAGAGATTTTGCCTTGAGATTTGACAAGTCCAGCTGATGGTGTTCTAGATCTAGAGAACACCTTGAAGGAGAAAGATGGTGTTAGGCAGAAAGAAGCCAAGTGACACAAGTTTTCTAGAAATAAAATAGTTAAAATCAGTGAGGGGGAAGGAGCAGTGGAAAGAAAAACAACGGGAGAAGGAGATGGATGTTATTCCAAGAGGATTGTGAAGAAAATGAGAATAAAATTTATGAAGTGTAGAAATTGTGGCAGCAAGGAAGGAACCTGTAAATTATTTTGATTTAATAATTACATGCAGGTTGACAAAACTGACTAAAATGATTTTGTTTTATTTTTGGTCACTTACTTTGCACGGTGTAGTTTGTGTTGTGAGGGCTGCATGATGTCAGGTTATTTTTTATGAGTCTATCACTAAATCAGAAAACAGTCAAAAGCCACCCTGAATTAACTGCTGGTAGTTCTTACAATGTTCACTGGGTAAAGTTAATATTTAAACATGCAGTTCAGTGTCACCATTGCTTAATACAATGGCATGTTTTGTTACAAATAAAAATAAATAAAAATTAACCAAAAATAAAAAAAGTCAAGTGCACCCCTAAAGTCATTGTGATAAATTGTTTCACATTAATATGTTAGATCTTAGTCATAGGAGTGAGTTTAAAAACAGGATGATGCAGATATGGACTAGTTGAACGAGGTGTCTCTAAAATATCCTGATGCATGATCAATAATTTGAACTATTTTTTAATCCGTCCAGAGGACCTGACTTTATTTAGTTAGATGTCTCTAAAATAATTATTGCATCAAGTGTTTACTTATGTAGGTACACGTAGATGTTTAACAACCCGGTAAAATACACCAGAATGCAGGAAATAGTATCTATTTTATTCAAAATTTCTAGGGGAGGACCCCCCCCACCCCCCACCCAGTGTGCCCTCCACGCCCACCCCCGCCCTGCAGGGAGCCCACTACCACAGTTAAAATAATTCCTAGAGGAAACCCTGAGATAGATGAATTATAAAACACATCAGGTCCTCTGGACGGTTTCTTTTAGTTGAAATGTTTCGGCTTTATCCAAAAGACTTCATCATCATTTATAAGACTGCGTTTGTTGTGGCTCCTCGGACTGATGAAGCGTTTTGGATGAAAGAAGAAAAGTTTCAACAAAAAGAAACCGTCCAGAGGACCTGACTGAACTTTGTTGGATTTTTCCACCTGGATTGTTGAACATGAGTAAGGATGTTAAATCCTGCGTGTGTACGATCATCTCTGGTGTCTAACAACCAAATCACAAGTCAGCAGCCTCAGACGGGTTCTTTTATTCATATTACTGCTATGTAAACAGTGAAGACATGTTAAATCAACTATTTTCACACAAAGAGCACCTTTTGGTCTCATTTACACACGTCTTTGGATTTGGCTCCAGCAGCAGCGCAGCTGCTGCCCGGCCTCAGACCTCATCACTCAGCACTGTGTGCAGGCCTCATGCTGAGGCGAAGCTGCTTTCACACATCCAGCAGCCCAGTTACTGGCCTCCCTCCAGTTAACGGGTTGTGCGGCGCATCTTTAACACGCTGCATGAAACTCTCCCTGTTTGCACAAGTAAACAAATTAAAGGAACAACTCAGTGCATGTGCACACCGCAGAGAGGGTTCCGTCTGTGTAAGGAACAAAAGAAGCAACCAGCAATCAAAAAGTAAATGTGATGGGAGGGAGAAGCTGCACTCGCAGTCAATTAATGAAGCAAACAAAACAAAAAGTGAAGTGGTGATTTAATGGAAAATGGGTTTCAACAAAGTCTGCTTTTCTCATAGGCTGTAGGTTTCTATTTACTTCAGCAGACAACCAAAGGAATTACAAGTTTCTCGGTTTTAGTTTTTAAGTTTAACCTTGACCTCATGGACGTGCTGGATTAGAAAATGTTGGCAGCCTGTTAAAAAGAGTTGAGCAAATCGTAGGTTGTAGTAACTATAGAAAATAACAAACTATTCTTAAATTTAACAATAGTAACTGTGCCAAATGCTGAGAAAAAACAAAAGAATTGAAAAATTCAGCGTTGTTACATTTGTTTTACTAAAATATTAAAACCCTTTGTATTGTAAAACTGCCTGCAGGTTGTTCCTGTCACACGGAGAAACAACTTCTGCTCCTAATATGAATCATTAATGGATGCTTGTAGCAGGAAGGATGTTCAATTACACTGCAAAGCTACAAAAAAGTGAATCATTGGCTTCAAATTTTAAAATGTAGAACAGAAAATCACATTTTTGTTTTTATTTTATATGTGTATAAAATAGGGGTACACCGATTGCAGTTTTCTGGCCGATCTCCGATCACCAATTTCTATAAAGTCTGACCTGCCGATTCTGATTTTGGCCGATACTGATTTAGTTTTATAAACGACACTGTCAGGTGTTATAAGGTCACAATGTCCCTTCAATTTTCCAATCTTATTTTTTTGAAAAACATATGTAGTGAGATAGGGTCGGTTAGCTTCAGTTAGCTTCACTACAGTCAATATTTAATAACGAGTTCTCTCTTTTTTGAGCTACTTGACAGATATGTGACAGAGATACTGTGTGGGAGATGGTCTAATCAGTGACGTGAGACGTTAATTTTCTTTGACCCATCAAAATGAATGTAGTCATTTATTAACAGAATCAAAATTTAACATCAAACATTGTACACTTGATTATTCTGATTGAACGCAATAACACAGCTTAATTAATGAGCTTTACAATGAGAAATCATACGGCCATGATTTTTCACTTGCAGCTTATTACAACAGACATATCCTTAGATCTTAAATCAATATCTGCAGACTTTTAGCTTATCTTTTACTGGTGAGATAGAAGAGATGGAGTAAAGTTTAAGGAGGGAAAGTGGATACTTAGGGTTAACTAAGATAATAAAGAAAAGATGGGGAGTTATCTTGTTTGAAACCAGATAGCACGTTTCCCAGTGATTTCGGCTAGATGTACCCGAGCGTCGACCCTTTACCTTGGTGGGGTTTCAGAGAGGTCTTCTCCTGGCGTCCAGCAAGGCTGAGTCTTTTTACCTCCAGGGATTTATCCGCGTCTCATGAACTTGGGATAACAAAGCTGACTGGCCCAGCTTCCAAAATAAACTTCCCCGAAAGATAGGATTAAGTTAAGTGGAATTTCAGCAAACATGCTGAACTCCTTCTCAGCAGAACTCTCTGTTCTCCATGGAACTTCTGTTCATCCTCCAGAACTTCGGATCACTTCTGCTCTCAGAACTTTTCTGTTCGGTTCTGCTCTCAGAACTTCGGTTCATGTCTCCCAGAACTTCTGTTCTCCTGTGCTCCCAGAACTTTGGTTCAAGTGTAGAATGGGTTCAAGTGTAGAACTTCTCTTCTTCCCCCAGAACTTTTCTGTTCGGTTCTGCTCTCCGAACTACTGGAACTAGGAAGTGTCGACCTTTAAAGAGTTCTGTTTCCGGTCCCATTTGGGAAGTCCTGATTGGTTGAAAGAACCAATAGGGGTGTGGTTTTAGTGACGTAAGAGGGTTACTACAAGTCAGAAAAACAGCGGAGATGTTTTAGGAACAGACCGAGAAATGTTTTGGCGAAATGACAGACGCAGGTGCCAGCTTCTCTTGTTTCTGTCTGAGAGGTTTAAAAACATGACAGTTCGTTCCAATAAACTTGTTTGCGACTGTCTCCGACTTTTGACCGACATCACTCCTTCTCATTTCAGACAGAAGTTCAAAAAATGCATAATTACTTTGTAACAGACATCTAACTTGATTTCTACTTTGAATGAGGATTAAAAATCATTAATACTGTTTCACAGTTGATTTAAAATGAGTGGTTCACTTCAACATTTAAAATGGTTTGAACTAAACACACTTTGATTATCAAGACATTTGTAAAAATAGTAATGATAATATAAAAAGAGAGTGTTCTTTCAATTGATTAGTTCAGGATACAAATTAGAAAGTCTCTGGATGAGCTTATTTGTATTTCTGGATTCAAATCAATGAAATAACAGTTTCTGTCCCATGAAGGTCTTCGGGGTCAGGTTTTGACCTGAGGCTTAGTTCACTACACATACCATTGAACAATATCTTAGACACAAAACAAACTTTTTTTAACTGGTCAGGAGTCAGTGCTCTGAAATATAAAAGAAGTTAGGACAATTGTTGTTAAAACAACAAAAAATCGGTAAAATCAGTTTCTCATGCAAGTATCGGACGATTTCTGATTTCCCAAAATTAAGGAAATTGGGGCTGATTTATCGGTGCACTCCTTATATATATATATATATATATATATATATATTTATCTATAAGGATGTATAACATTCTGTAATCCAAATCTAAATGTTGTATGAACTGTTTTAAATTCAGTTGACCTGATAATGAGTTCAGTCTGCACCTTTATGTGGGAACAGAGATATAGGTAAACACCCAAACTAAATGTCACCTACCTCTCTCTGTCTGAGCTCAGGTGGCAGACCAGGTGACACGCCCACAGCAGCGGACCTGCATAGGTGCTGAGAGCTGTTAAAAAGATGGCTGGTGCTTCGATGTAGCTTTCGAGTCCAACGAAGCCGACTGAAATGTCCACGGTGCCTATGTTGTTGGAGTTCCCCTGCGCACACACAAAATTATTCATATCTTTGACTCGGGGGGCTGAGAGAAAAAAGATGTATAAAGTACAAAGATGTGTGACTTTAGGCAGCTCAGCGTTTTAAAGAACAAGCCCTAGCTTTTTAATGATTACTCTGAACTGCCCTGACTTCCCAGCAGCCCAGACATTTGTGCTTTCAATCAGAGCAGAGCTGCTCCTCCACTGTGGCTGCACTTTAAGCCTCTGAGACCACATTTTGAACGTGCATGTTCCTGTAAACACTTATCTGACAAAAACAGCACATTCTTGCAAAGCTTAATTTAGAAACTATAAAACATAAATAGAAAATGTGCACACAAGCTTTGTTTCACAACAAAAAACAAAGACAAAGAAAGTTATAGACCTAAGATCCCTTGAAGAGATGCATATCACCTGCCGCCTTCATACAGTTTTACAAACCGGATTCCAAAAAAGTTGGGACACTAAACAAATTGTGAATAAAAACTGAATGCAATGATGTGGAGATGGCAAATATCAATATTTTATTCATAATATAACATAGACGACAGATCAAAAGTTTAATCTGAGTAAATGTAACATTTTAAAGGAAAAATATGTTGATTCAAAATTTCACAGTGTCAACAAATCCCCAAAAAGTTGGGACAAGTAGCAATAAGGGGCTGGAAAAAGGAAATTGAGCATATAACGAACAGCTGGAAGACCAAATAACCAAATAACCTCCTGTCATGAAAGTTTCAACGATAGAACAGTTTTCAATCACAAAAAAGTCCATGCTCAATAATCCAGGTAAACAATCCAACATTTTTCAGTCAGGTCATCTGGACAGTTTCTTTATTTTTGTGCTGAAACATTTCACCTTCCATCCAGAAGGCTTCATCAGTCAAGGAAACACACAACAAAACTGATTCTTCCCCCAACAGCTTACTCAAAGTGGAACAAACCAGTTCTGCTTGTGATAAGTTGGTCTCTTTGGTACGCCCCCTTCTCCATTGCCGGCCCTCTTCCTTGTTGACAGTCGTGTCAAACTGGTTGAAAACAACAAAGTCCAAAGTTTTCAATCACCCTTTAACAAAAACGGTTTCTGAAAGGTGCGCACCAGCTCATGCGAGTGACGCGCGACCTGGCATCACAGTGGGATTTAGTCTTCGTTCTCAGTGGTCTAACTAAAAATTTGTTTGAGCCTCTGGACCAGATACCTTTGAAGTATCTGTTGCTCAACACAGCCTTGTTATTATCAATCAACCTTTATTTCTACAGGTAAATCCCATTGAGCCTCGAGGACTCATTTACAAGAGAGACCTGATTTCAACAAAGAATGATGACAACAATGGACAACAAGACAACAATAAACAGTTATAAAAAAGCATACTAGTTTTTTTTTTTTTTTTAACAAATAGGATGGCTAAAAGGAAAATGTAACAAAACAAAAAACAGCTAGATTCCAAGACAAATGTATAAAACTAAAAACAGGAACATGTCTGCATTGGACCCTGCCAGGAGTCCAACAGATTCTTAAAGACACTTAGAGAGGTCAAAGGTCGAGAGCTTCAAATCTTTTTGTAAGATATTCCAGGAAACAGGAGCAGAGTAGGAGAAGGCCCTTTTGCCTAGTTCAGTCCTCACTGAGGGAACACTGCAGGTAATGATGTCCTGAGAGTGCACTCCGTAGCTGCACTCACGCAGACATGTAGGAGGAGATGTATGAAGGCAGCAGACCAGGAAGTGATTTAAAGATGAAAATATACCAGTGAGAGAGTCTGCGTGAAGTTAATGATGTCCAGTTAACCAGTGAATACAGGGTGCAGTGGTGGGTACGATAATCACAGCCAGTTATGAATCTTAGTGCACCATGATAGACAGCATCCAACATCTGCAGCATCCAACATCTGCAGGGTTCTTGTAGGAGCGTTCTGACATTCTGACAGCGTTTAGCTCTGACATCAGCTAAAAGAGTGAGCGACTTGTCAGGTCTGTCCATCTCTCCTTCTTGTCTCAGAATTCAAGGAGACGGGAGTTCAGCAGAACTCCGACCAAACCCTGCTTTTATACCCAAAAGCATAACAAGTTCATTCAGGTCCAGAGTCATTACGCTGGATGGGTTCTGTCCCCCTCCCCATAAAACTGGAGGAGGAACAATTTCACCTGCTCTGTCCAGTTCACGCGCTCAGGTGTTATGTGACATGCACAAGCTGTGATGCATAAATCCGACATTTTGTACATTTCAGGGAACGATCACAGGGTCTGCCTTTATCTTCCCAGCGTCTGTCACATTGGTTATGTGAAACTGTATCACAAGCCTATAGTTCTTCTGGCCTTCAGCCTCCTGAAGGACTCAGGGTTCATTCCACCAGAGGAATTTCTACCTCCACAGCTCTGCACAGAGGGGTGTCAGTGCAGGACATCTGTTCTGTGGCTTCATGGTCATCAATGACCATCACCAAAAAATAAATAAAATAAAAACAACAAACAATAAAACAACACAACCCTGCTCTGTCATTATTAGTGGGCGCTTTCTATGATTACTCGTTCAAACAGGAAAATTCCTTCTTCCTCATTGGAATTTTTCCTTCTCTTATTCCTCTATTGTCTGATATGAATAAACATTCCTTCAGTTCAGATCAGGCTCAGAGGCTGCACGCCTGTAATCCAGTACGCACCAGGTACATGGGTCAATGGTGTGTAATTACGCTTGAATAAAGAAAGAGGTTTAGGCAGATATCAGGGTGTTTTTTATGGTTCTCAGACAAACCCAGTGAGGCATGGACCATATCCTGCTCCGCCCTTTAAACCCAATAAGCGACAGTTTTTAAAGGGCGTAGCTTACACAAAATAGAATGTTGGTTACGTATTGTAACCCCAGATTCTGTGTGCAAACGTAGCCCTTTAAAAACTGGGCCTCACTGGCTCTCAAAAGGCTGAAGAAAAAGAGTAAGCCTTTGGGAGTCGATCTCCGGTCCAAATGCAATTTATAATGGACTGGGTGGGGTCCACATAGTAGGTGGGCGTGGACTAGAAGTTTTCAGTGTTCGGCGCACTGCACGCGGGCAAACCCAATAGCGACAGCTTTTAAAGTGCTAGAAGAAGGGCTAAGAAGTCTAGTACCCAGTTGCAAATGGAGGGGCTTAGTCCTAGTGTGAGTAGTTTGTCCATCAGGGTTTGGGGGATCATGGTGTTGAAGGCAGATGTGAAGTCCACAAAGAGCATATGGACGTAGGAGTCCTTCTGCTCCAGGTGGATGAGAGCAGTGTGGACCACAGAGGGGATGGCATCCTCTGTTGATCGGTACTCATGGTATGCGTACTGGTGAGGGTCCTCATTGATGTTGCTGGTTGTTTTGATGCGAGTCATGACCAGTTTTTTGAAGCATTTAGCGACTATCGGGGTGAGGGCTACTGGCCGATAAGTCATTCAGACCAAACACTTTAGAGCTCTTTGGGACTGGGATGATGGTGGCAGTCTTCAGGCAGGTGGGAACTGTTGCCAGGGTAAGTGAGGTGTTAAAGATGTCAGCCAGAACCTCGCAGAGCTGATCAGCACATTCTTTCAACACTTTCCTGGGAATGTTGTCTGGGCCAGTTGCTTTGTGACAGTTAATCCTCCTGAAAGTACTCCTTACTTCTGCTGAGGTTACGTCGAGAAGCTCTTTATCTGGTGGTGAGGTAAGTCTGGTGCTGGGTGGTCTGTTCGGGTTTTCAAAGCATGCATAGAACTTGTTGAGGGCATCAGGCAGTGATGGGTCTCTAGGGCATTGTTCGCTCCTGCCACCAGTATTCTTACCACCAGCATTACCACCATCAGCTGGTAAGGTGTGCGACGTTAATTTGAACCCCACCCACTGGAACGTTACTGAAAGCATAATGGAAACACAACATGTACCGTGCCAAGCCGAGTCAAACTGTGCTGTACCGGTACTAAAGATACTAATGGAAAAGGGGCATCTATCTTTGGGAGAGAGCTTTAATGCTTCAAGAATATCTTTGAAAACCTTTTTTTTGAAAGGATAGTTAACATCCCAAACCAAAGTAAAACTGGTTAACAAGCAGACTTCAACCCTTCTGCTGTCCTTGTGTCAATATGGCCCATGAGGTCTTATAGGTCATTTTGGACCAAGGACAGCAGGAGGGTTAAATCAACAGTTCAGATCTTTTGAAGTGAACAAAATTAAGAATCAAATAATTTGTACTTGTAGGAAATATTTTGAACACGAACAGTTTAATTCTGATTGAATTGACAATATAACAGCTAGTGCAAAAGCAGGATAGACCAAACTGGATTCAAGTTCAAGTTCAAGTAGGTGTATTGTCATTTCACCACATGTGGTACATAATGTGGAATGAAATTATGTACTCAGGGTCCCAGTTAAATCCAACAATAGCAAAAATATAAAGTGTACAAAGAAACAGTACATACAGATCTAAGATATACACTAATAGTACAAAAACAATACGGTGTAAGAACAGCAGCCTGAACATGAGTCTGTGTGAGCAGACGGGTACGAGTGAATACAGCAGCATGAAATAATCAGCAGTATGAGATGAGATGAACAGCATGGATATTCAGCAGCACATATCAAAAATAAAAGTGACATTACAGTGATTTTTGCAGTTTTTACTGTGGATTGCTGCCTTAAAAACCAGTCAGAAACTTCACTAATGGGCTTTTCTATGTATGTGAATGTTCCTGTGACGTGTCCTGAGACAACTCTGTTGTGATTTGGCGCTATATAAAGAAACTGAATTGAATTGACTTGAAACACTTCACAATGGCTCACCTAACCATTTTCTTTACCCACTTCTCCTTTTTGAGTCATGGGGAGCTGATGTTTAATTCCAGCAGTGAGAGAGGCGGGGGACACCGTGGACAGGTCATCAGTCCATCACAGGGACACATGGAGACAACCATTGACACACTTACCTCACATCTAGGGACAATTCAGTGTTACTATTTAACCAAACGTGCATGTTTTTGTCTGTGGGAGGAAACCAGAGTATCTTGAGAAAACCCACGAGTGCACGGAGAGAACATGCAAACTCCACCCAGAAAGACTAGGACGCGATCCTTGACCTTCTCGCTGAGAGACGCCAGCTCTAACCACACTGTGCTGACACCTCTCAGTCTTACTTTACATGGCCATTTCATTACACAGAATTATGCAGTTAATTCATTATTTTCTACAGAATCCTACATCAACTGACTGAATGACATCTTTAACTGTTTTATCAAGCTAGATTAGTAGAATTCATGAGAAAATTGCATTTAAAATCAATTTGTTGAGTCTCTTTTGCATAGTCACAGGGTAAATGTGTAAAATGAGCAGAGATCAAAGATCTTTCTGGATGTGAATTCAGCAATGATCTGTGAGCAGCAGCGTGTTATCTAACAGTTTCTTCCCCATCCATCTGCATATATATCTGTGATGTGAGTGGATGAACTCACCACCAGCTGCTCCCACTAAACAAACACTAAACATGAGTAAGCAGGTTGGAATCTGCACATGGACATTTTCACCTTTTTGCTTTCTTGGTGAAATATGGCCGTGATGTTTCAAACGTCATTTTGCGCAAGAAGTAAAATTTATTGCTTTGGAAATACTGAGCAATACAACGTTTCCAACAAAATAATAACTTGTCAAAGGTGTCAGTCACTATGGCAAGTTGATGCATTTTGTTCAGAAGAAATAGAATGATGAACTTAATGTTTCTGCTCATGTGGGAACATTTAAAAAAACCTCTAATTTCTAGAAAAACCTCTTTGCTGCATGGACCTGGTTTTTAGATTCAGAGAAAATCACCTGCAAAGTCTGACAGACCAAGTTTAATGCAATAGATGCTTCATTTCTCATTTTGTGCAAGCTTACTTCTTTTTGCCAATAGCAGAGTTTGCAGCTGAAGCTTTAGGGCAGCTGAGGCTGAGTGGTTAGAGCAGCCGTCCTCCAATGGGAGAGTTGGGGGTTCGATTCCACCATCAGTCAAATGTTGAAGTGTCCCTGGGCAAGACACTGAACCCCTCACTGACTCTGATGTGTGTCCCATCGGTGTATGAATGTGATCTACAGCTCTGATTAGTCTCTACAGATTCAGATTAAATGGTAAATGGACTGTACTTATACAGCTCCTTTCTATCTAATCCAGACACTCAAAGCTCTTTACAACAATCTGTGTCCTCATTTACTCATTCATACAGCTCTATACTAGATCTCTACAAAGAATAATCAGAGCTTTATCAAATTCATACACCGATGGGTCACACATTGGAGGCAATGAGGGGTTCAGTGTCTTGCCCAGGGACACTTCAGCACATGACTGCTGGTGAAATCGAACCTCCAACTCTTGCATTGGAGGACGACTGCTCTAACCACTGAGCCACAGCCGCCCAAAGTTAAGCTGCAGATTAACTTTGTAGAGCTGTAGTAGAGCGCTGTATGAATGTGTGTGTTGGAGGTAACTGAGGACACAGATTGTTGTAAAGAGCTTTGAGTGTCTTGATTCGATAGAAAGGAGCTGTATAAGCACAGTCCATTTACCATTTACCTGGAGGATTTCCCATGATCCTCTGGTGTTTTCATGTTTGGCTGCCAGAAAACATGGAGGATTTAAAAACATCTGATTTCTGCTAAAAGTTTATACGCTTCTACCAATCAAGCAGAAGAGGCAACCATCATCCCTGAACCTGCTGCGGTCTTCCAGCTAACCGCTCACGTTACCAAAGCTGCTGATTCAATTGCAATTATTGCTCATCACCGAGGTGACAGATGAGTTTTCAGCTGGATCTTTAGTGTGTGTTGCTTTGCATGTTGCCTATGTCTCATGAACAACTAGACAGACTTAAATGAAACTGTCAGAAAGTAATTACTGGATGTACTGCATGTCTACAACAAATTAACGTTTTTAGTCAACCCTAATCAAGATGGCCGCCACAGTAAAGCAAGCTTAGAAAACACAAAACTGGCTATAATTATTCAGTTTTAGTTATTCAGGTACAATTAGGTGTGGCAGTGGTTGAAAGTCATCCCCAACTTATAATCGAAAGGCAAACTGATCAAATAATCTGTTTTTAAACATGTGGACTTTTCAAGTCAACGCAGTCTGTCTGTTAGCAACATGAACCACTGGACTGTCTGTTAGCAACATGAACCACTGGACTGTCTGTTAGCAACATGAACCACTGGACTGTTTGTTAGCAACATGAACCACTGGACTGTCTGTTAGCAACATGAACCACTGGACTGTCTGTTAGCAACATGAACCACTGGACTGTCTGTTAGCAACATGAACCACTGG